TGTCTTTGAAATACTAATTTTTAAAATTTTTCCATAGGTTATTGGGGTACAGGTAGTATTTGGTTACATGAGTAAGTTCTTTAGTGGTGATTTGTGAGATTTTGGTGCACTCATCACCCAAGCAGTATACACTGTACCGTACTTGTAATCTTTTATCCTTCACCCCCTTCCCACTCTACACCCCCAAGTCCCCTAAGTCCACTGTATCATTCTTATGTCTTTGCATCCTTATAGGTTAGCTCCCACATATTAGTGAGAACATACAATGTTTGGTTTTGAAATACTGATTTTGTTTCCTTTAGATGTATACCCAGAAGTGGGATTACTGAATCAGACGGTATTTCTACCTTTATGTTTTTTGAGGAACCTCCATATGTCCCCCACAATGGTTGTACAAATGTAAATTCCCAAAAACAATGTACAAAGGTTCTCTTTTTATATCCTCATTAATACTTGTTATCTTTTGTCTTTTTGATAAAAACCTTTCTAACAGATGTGAAGTGATTATTTCGTGGTTGTAGTTTGTATTTCCTTTGATTTAATGATGTTGAACATTAATAAATACACTTGTTGGCCATTTGTGTGGAAATATCTATTTCACTGAAAAAACGTCTATTTAGATTCTTTCCCCATTTTTAAACTGGGCTACTTGTTTTCTTGCTATTGAGTTTTTAAAAAAATGTATATTTTAGATATTAACTCTTTATGAAATATTATTTTCCCATTTCATAGGTTGTCTCTTCATTCTGTTGATGTTTTCTTTTGTTAAACAGGAACTATTTAGTTTGGTACAATCCTATTTATTTTTGATTTTGTTACCTGTGCTTTAGGTATGCTATTTTAAAAATATCATTGCCCAGACCACCATTAAGCAGTTTTTCCCCATTTTCTTCTAGTAGTTTTACAGTTTCAGGTCTTACCTTTCAATTTTTAATCCAATTAAGTTGATTTTTGTATATCGTTTGAGACAATGGTTTAATTTCATTCTTCTTTAGGTGGATATTAAGTTTTTCCAACACAATTTATTGGAGAGACTATTCTTTTCCCATTGTATGTTCTTGGAAACTTTGCCAAGGACCAACTGACCATAAATACATAGGTTTATTTCTGGGCTCTCTATTCTGTTCCATTGTTCTGCGTATCTGTTTTTATGCCAGTATCATACTGTTTTGATTACTATAGATTTGTAGTATATTTTGATTTCAGGTAGTCGTGCCTCTAGCTTTGTTCTTTTTGCTCAAGATAGCCTCTAGCTTTGTTCTTTGTGTTCAAGATAGCCTTGGCTATTTGGAGTCTTTTGTGGTTCCATATGAATTTCAGTACTTTTGCTATTTCTGTAAAAATTCCATTAGAATATTGATAGGGATTGCAAAGAATCTGTAGTTTGCTGAGAGAAGTATGAGCATTTTGACAATATGAATTCTTCCAATCCATGAATAAGGAATATCTTTTCATTTATTTGTATCTTCTTCAATTTCTATCATCCATGCCTTACAGTTTTCAAGGTACAGATCTTTCACCTTCTTGGTCAGATTTATTTCTAAGTATTTTGTTTACCTTTGACATTATTGTAAATATACTTGTTTTCTTGATTTCCTATTCAGATAGATCATTGTAAAAATGCAACTGGCTTTTGTATGTTAATTTTGTATCCTGTGAACTTAACTAAATTTATTAGTTCTCACAGTTTTTGGTGTAGTCTTTTGGGTTTTCTAGATGTAAGATCACCTCATCTGCAAACAGACAATTTTACTTCTTCCTTTTTAATTTAGAAGCCTTTTATTTCTTTCTCTTGTGTAATTGCTATATCTAGGAATGTCAGAATTATATTGAAGAGAAATTGTAAAAGTGGGCCTCCTTGACTTGTTCCTGGTCTTGGAAGAAAAGCTTTTCGCTTTCAAACGTTGATAATGAGAATATCAGTGGACTTGATATGCATTACCTTTATTATATTAAGCTACGTTTCTTCTATACTTAATTTGTTGGAAGTTTCTTTTAGTTATGAAACAATATTGAATTTTATCAAATGCTTTTTCTGCACCTGTTATCATATGGTTTTTATCCCTCAGTATGTTAATGTGGCATATCATATTTATTAATTTGTGTATGTTAACCCATTCTTGCATCCTAAGGATGAATCCCACTTAGTCATGGTGCCTGATCATTTTAATGTGCTGTTGAATTCATTTTGCT